GCGACTAAAACAAAATTACGAAGTAGACTGGAATATAAACCACACACTTGAGGTGTCATTGTCTCCTATTACCCCGAGATGGGACTGTCTGATTGCAGAAAATCAAGCTCGGGGCTGTGGTGAGTCGTCATTTTCATGCACTTTGAATTTGCGTTGTATCGTATTTTGAAGGCATTAAACATTGCCATAGCGATAAGAGTGTTGCGACCGGATTAGACGCTCCTTGTGTTTATTATTATAGTTCAAAAACACCACAGTTTTCATGAAGCTCATACCATATTATTTTGTTGTATTAATCCGCCACACCTTAAATGCCGGTCCCTGAAAATATTGTCTGATTTAAACCGGTCCGTGGGGCAAAAAAGGTTGGGGACCCCTGCACTAGATGGAACTACAGGTACGTCTTTGTCCGTCTCCGTGCCTTCTCTTGTTCCGTTTGACTCAAGAGGCGTTCATGACCGCCTCCAAAAAACGTAAATTAACGATAACTTCAATGAAACTACGAAAATTGACGACACAGTAATGCATCAAAACAGAAAATCACAAAAGAAATTATATAGCCCCGTAGCTGCAAAAGAACGACCAGATGTCAGTAAATTTGATCTTAGTTTTACTGTTTGGTGCCTACTACCATCTTTGTTACTGATTATTGCTTTATTGTTGTATATATGTTAGTTGCTCCATGTACAGCACTTTGTATGCAGCAATGGCTGTTTGAAAGTGCTCTATAAATACAGTTGAGTTGAGTTAAATTGGAGGAGACTGGACTGTCTCAGAAGTGTTTATTTATTCCTTTGTTGTGTACTGTATTCACAAACGAGGAAAACACAAAATAAATTCTGTAGTGCAGCTCTAAAACATTTCTAGATGCCATTGAACAATTTTTAAACCTAAACTTGAATTGTCATCGTGCAGCTGCTAAGAATTGAAGCTTTGCAAAAATGTATTGCCAGAAAATATTTATGTTTTCAATTCACTTTCAATACTGTAGAAAACCATCTAAAATTGGATGAATGGTCTTACCAATTGGACACTTTGGACAACATAGATTCTCGTTGAGCTGATACTCCGTTTGATGACATTGAAGTGTATGACCTCTGACGACATACGTCAGAATGAGCTATGGAAGAAACAACATAATGCTTATTAGAGCACAGATCAGACACTCAGAATTGTTTTGTTGTTGCTGTTGTTTTTTTTTTTTTTAATTTTTTTTTTTTTACTGTATACTCATAGCTTGAACTCCCAGAATTCAACAATGCTGCTTGACCTTCATTTTGCTTGGATTTCTAATTGGAATGAAATATGAAATGATGGGAGCAGAATTATTCTGTGATCTTAAAACTTTTAAATACGATGTTTTGAACGCTGAATGTTTTGAATTTCAAATGGAAAAAATGGGAATCTGTTACGTCGAAAGTCCCATTGGTACTGTATGGAGAATGTTGGGTTCAAAATGTTGAATTTGGGGAAAATTGAATTTTTGGAGTGAGAAAAATACAAGGTGTTCCAAAAGTCTTGGGCACATTTGAAGTCCCCAGAGCTCCTTAACTATGAATGGTAGTAAGATAAAAGTTGTGCCATTTTAAAGCTAATTACATTAAGTTTTTTGTAAGGCCATTGATTTTTTTTATTTCTTTTCAGACCCATTAATGGCCTTCACTCAACCATAAAGGCGTTTTGTGTGCTTGAATTTGTCATGCACTGTTGTTCAACATGCATTTCGCAGAAAATTCGGAAAGGAGCCACCAGAAAGGAAGTCCATAGTGAGATGGCATGGTAAATTCATAACGGATGGGTGCTAATGCCCAGCTAAAACAACGCGACGCCCCTCAACTTCAGAAAATGTGATTGATCAAGTTCGAACTGCGTTCCAGCGGAGCCCCCGTCAATCGATCAGAAGAGCCAGTCGGAAACACACCATCGGCTTGATGTGTGTCGTGTGACCAATGGTGCTCACATTGAACATCTTTGAACATTCCATGTAAAAATTGAGATTACAAGCTTTCTGAATTTACCAGATGCGCCTTTATATGCTGAATAGTTTCCGAGATATTCAATGTCAAAATGTGCCCAAGACTTTTGGAACACCCTGTATTAAGCCACAAAGCATTCATTTTTGGAACAAGTTGGAATTGGAATGTGTTCAATCAGCCTGAAACCAGAGCACCTGGAGAAAAACCACGCAGGCCCAGGGAGAACATACAAACTCCACACAGGAAGGCTGGAGCTGGAATCGAACCTGGTACCTCTGCAGCGTGAGGTCAACGACTCGACCACCGGGCCGTCGCCTTCACACAATAATTACAAAAATGTGAGGGGTGTCCTAACTTCTGTGCAATGCTGTACATACACTACTCACAAAAAAGTTCAGGATATTTGGCTTTCAAGTGATATTAATGGAAAATGTAAAAAGTTCATGCTACAGCGATATCATATCATAAAAACAGGACATTTAAGGAGAAGGATGATCTGATCATTTCCTCATCTCAAACAATTCATTGAAACAAAAGTTAACAACAATGGTGGGTAGACCACAGCGAAAAATGTCAACGTCTCAAGACCTCGTCACGTGCCCATGAGCATCAACTGTATCTTGACAACGACGTCTTATGCAGTTTACAAGTCGACTTCTTGTCTGCTGAGGCATTGCATCCCACTCTTCTTGAAGGGGAGCCCTCGGGTCATTCAGGTTCCGCGGAGGGTGCAGAGTTTCGAGCCTCTTCATGGAGACTCAGCTGATACCACAGGTTTTCAATGGGATTCACGTCTGGTGAAAGTGCAGGCCGTTCCATTTGAGGTACACCAGTCTCCAACAGCCGTTCCCTGATATTGCAGACTCGATGAGCTGGAGCACTGGGGTCCATGAAAATGAAATTAGGCCTGTGTTGTTCATTTAGGTGCACAATCACTTGATGAATTCTGTTATTCAGGTAGTATGGGTTGTCAGAAAGTGTCGGGCAGTTCTGAACCGACTGGACACACCTGCCCACACAGTAACACCACCACCACCACCGAAAGGTCGTCTGGTGACAACAGTGGCTGATGCATAGCGCTCTCCTTGACGTCTCCAACATCATTGGCGGACATTATTTCTGCTCAACGTGGATGGACTTTCATCAGAGAACAGCACTGAGGCCCACTGGTCGCTAGGCCGGCGTAAATGCTCTCTGGCCCATGCAAGACGATGACGTTCGTGCCTGGAGGTGTGGTCCCTTGCAAGTCGTCTAGTACGCAGACCACGCTGATGTGAGCGGCTTCGAATGGTGCGACGTGACACTTGGGGGCCTCTCACCTCCCTTAAATGTGCCTGGAGTTGAGTGGCATTCATCATCGGGTGTCTCAGGGCATTGCTCCCAATGTAGCAGTCATCAGCATGGGATGTGCGCAAAGGATGTCCACTTCTACATCTTTCTCTGACTCTTTCGGTCTTTCGGCATCCCTATTGCAACCTGCTGATGACACGATGTGACACTCTGACCTCAGTGGCCACTTCCATCTGAGAAGGTCCCGTTTGAAGCATCACAATGGCAAGGTACTGTTGATCCATTGTTAGGTGTTGTCTTGGTCTCATGATGTCAAAATGTGAACAGCAGGATGAGGACGACTGTTTGAACACCAGCTCTAATTGAACCAGGACATCTATTGGTCGATTCAAGGATCAAACGTCTGTTGTACATTTTGCCAATGCAATTAAATAACATCAACAAAATGACACTTGCAGCGCAGACCACCACCAGCAGTTTTTGCATACCCCGTAAACAATCCGATCAAAACAGTTAATGTGTTTAAATCAAACGTTGGTAAAGGGCAGTGTTGTGTCCAAGGACCGGCAACCCGAGGCCAAGGCCAAGGCCAAGGACTTGACTCCCAAGGCCAAGGCCAAGGCCAAGGAATTGACTCCCAAGGCCAAGGCCAAGGACCAAGGACCGACCTTCGGTCCTCGAGCCGGTCCTCGAGGCCAAGGACCGGCTCGAGGAACACATCACTGGTAAAGGGTAGAGAAGCTTGCTACAATAACAAATTATTATTTTTTGTTTGTTTTACCAGTACATGGTGACGTGCCAGGTGTTTATTTCCCAACACCATTCTGCTTCAGGCGGTTGACATCAGCTGAAAACGCTAATAGCGTTCTGGGATGCAAATCCCGATATACACTGGAAAAGAAAAAAGAAAATATTTTAAAAGTTACTTCCAATCTATTTTAGCACCTTCCAAAAGTGTAAGCGGATTGGCGTCCAAAGAAGAATAACTGAGTGGAAACAGAGTTTATGATGTCAATCTGAGGTCAGGACAGTCACATAATGTCTGCAAATTTCAGATATTTTATTTTGAAAAGTTCCATTAGATCTTATCAAAGTTCCTTGAGTGGTGTACTTGGATAGCCTTGTAATAGATAACATTTTCAAATTTTCCAATGAAGGCTGCCCTAGCTGCCCGCAGCTGTCTGTGCAGTCGTTGTGAAGTTTTTCATTGTTTTGTGTATTTGGCCTTTTTAGCTTGCACTATTGCTACGATTCATACGAGGAAAAAAAAAAAACAGACGTAAAATGAAAATGACTGGCTCATGAAAAAACAGAAAAGTGTACTTGCTGCTCTTTGACTTTGTGGTTTCCGGTGAGACTTGTTCTGCCAGGCAGCTGAGTCAGAATCAGATTGTCTTGACAACTTATTTTCCATTGTAACATCATGGACTTAACAAACTAGACTGGATGCGCTTACAAGGATCATACGTGAAATAAAATCACATTTAAAATACACTCGAAAAGAAGCGTATGACTTAAAAACAGACAGCAAAAGAGACAAGCTAAGATGAAAAGACAGTAAAAGAGGAAGAATGTGGGTGTTTGATGGGTTTCCTGAGGCACCTGAAGAAAATTGGACTACAACAGAAGAAACGCTAAAGAACGTCCTGACTGAGAAACTTAAGATACTGCACAACAAGAATTTGAAACAGAGATGGCTCGCCGCACTGGGAAACCAGGAAGGGGCAGACCGAGGCACGTGGATGTAAAACTACTGAAATTGAAAAATCAAGCAACGATTCTCCCGCAAGCCAGCCATCTCAAAGGTAAAAGAAGCTCCATTCATGAAAAAAAATTGTTTTGAATTTTATAAAATAAAATCATCTAGACGCCCCATTTTTTGTAGTAATAGTAGTCTACTCATAAAATTAATTAAATCTGGATTCAGACGATCTTATTTTTGGTGACCACTTGATGAAATAAAACAGAGTAAATCCAAGCACCATTATTTTCAGTGCACTGATGACACCCAATGAACACAAAGGATTGCTCAAAATAATAACTGGAAGTACGGTAAGTACTTTTCATTTCACTAAACATCGCTCACATGACAAGAAAATGACACTGACCCATATGAAATAAGTTATTTCATACTTTTAATAATTCCTGCAAGTATAAGTCATAACATGACCGTCGCCTCTACGTTCATTATGAAATACAGTAGAACTTATTTTGAATCAATTTGTCCTATGTTGTCAGGTATCGGTCTATCCCCCCAACCCATCCTGCCAGCCTCTGCAGCCGGGATTTGTCCCTCCCCTCCCCTCTCCTCTCCTCTCCCTCGCTCCTTCGGAAACCCACAACTTGTATAACTCTCAGGAGCAGCAGGGTCACGTGACAAGTAGGGCGCACAACGCCCACTCCACGATACCAACTTGGGTGAGAGACTGCGGTTAAGCCAGCCACCACTCGCAAAAGTCAAGTCAAGTGAGCCGCCACTGGGATTTTCAATACTGTGCATTACGGTATCCTGCCGCCAGCGAATGGAGTTGGCTGCGGCGGTTATGAAGACGCGCGAGTGTTGTTTTGAGTTGACTTTCTTTTGTTGTTGCTTGTCTAACAAAAGTTATGTCTTGTTATATGTCTAATAATATACGATCCATTTCCACTTATCACATTGCATAGTACACTATCAGACTGGATAGTGTACTATGCAATGTGATTAGTGGAAATCGAATCGTATTGCTTGCAATAACTTGTACATACATACACACATACATTGTAACAGCACATGGAGAGGATAAAGAACTTTTGATTTATTGATGGAACGGAATACTGTAGTTTATTTTCACTGCGCCTGCTTTTCGGCCTTCCGGTGCGGATACCACAGTGAAAAAAAGAACAGCTGCATCGAAGACGCTTTTGACTGTTCCCTCATCGACACCAAATACCAGACATGCCATTAGATTTTAATACGACAAATGAATCACATACATTGCATCACAAAGGCAGTAACTTACTTGTTTTTTCAACGAGATACTTTGGCAGAAGATTGTTTCGTTTCCAGTGATGTGTCGTTCGCGAACGAACCGGCTCTTAGAGCCGGCTCTCTGAAGTGAACGACGAGAGCCGGCTCCTAATAGGGAGCCGTCCTAATAGGAGCCGACTTTTTTTTTCTCGGTTTTTTTTTTCCCCCTTTCGGTTAAAGCCGCACGTGATTGGTCAAGATCCGTGGTAGAAGAGGGAGGGGAGGGTTACACACGCGCTGCAGTGAAGAGAAGGGGGAGGAGTTAGAGACACACACTGTGAGCAGCACACGAACAGGAGAGACAGGGAGACGAGAGAGCTCGATAGCGCTACAGAGAAAAAAAAACACACGGTGGAAAGGTGAGAAAATGGATAGGAAACGCAGAGAAATTTGGACTCATTTCAACTTAATTGATAGTTCAAAGGCAGCATGTAGACTGTGCAAGGTTAAAATATCCAATATCAAATTTTAATTTATAATTTGTGTGGTAATCAAAGCTTATGTTGTTTTACTGTAAATAGTTACAAGCTAATAAATATAGACAATCAGAGATTGGAACTTTTTGTTGACCTTGTTTTGAGATGGGTCTTTGTTTTTGTACTTTGTAATTTATTTTTGTAGCACTCCATGTTGTGCTCATGTTAAGTATGTTCAGAAGAATATAAATAAAGCCATATAAATAATAAATATTTGATATACTGTATATTTTTTACATTACTAATTCACTTTACACATAATTTTGCATTATTTTTGGTAGTAAATTAATTTAAGCAACAAAAAAACTGAGGAGCCATTTGGGAGCTGAAAGAGCCGGTTCTTTTGAGTGAGCCGAGCCAAAAGAACCGGCTCTCTCAAAAGAGCCGGAATTCCCATCACTATTCGTTTCCATTACGTTCTCTTTTAGGTTGCATTCAACAAACGTGGAAATTAGAATATCCCACGTATTGAAACCTTTGAACCGCGAGGTCCAAGCTGCGAAGTCGGGGAAAAACAGTAAAAGGACACTTACTTCACCGGCCGATTTCAATCTGTCGTCATCGACAGTTGGCATTATTGTAAACAACATGCCTTTATCTTTATTTGTTATTATATTATTTAACCTCGTCGAAATAATGTCACATAACACAACGTTATTTGTACTGACCGCATGAAGAAATGTCGTTACCTCCCTGCATGAAGTTATTCGTTTAAATTTATGACATTCTTTGAGGATATTCCCTCATTTATGAACAGAAAGATCATTATGAAGGAGGGTTTGCTGGATGTCAGAATGGTTTGGGATGAACCAGAACAAAAACAATTTATAGGAATCAGCCATCTTTGTTTGTTTGATAAGATAAGAGAACCTTTATTGGTCTGGCAATGAGGTCGCACCGAGGACCATATGAGTAGTAAGAAATCCGATTTTTGCAAATTTGTTGAATGCATCAAATTGTCAACAGGAATCGGAAATTACGACACTCGTATTCCGTAAACCAACGTCCACGTATCCAATGACCAACCGGGCTGGATTAGAGGACACACCTCTTCGAAGTCGTCTTCTTGCAGCGTTTCATGTTCAACTGTTGTTGTTTTTTTTGTCAGATAATGAGGTTTTATTTTTACATCTTATTTTTAGACAAAGACTTTGCCTTTTTACCTCTTGATCTTTAGGTACAAAAAGAACTGAATTTTCTGAATAAAAGAAATTTTTAAAACTGTTGGACAGAAAAGAAGACAAGGTGAATTTATGAACGAGCGTTTCATCTTGTCAAATGGACGTTTATATCATTCTAACGAACATGGTAACATGGCAGAATTTCTGTCAAATGTTGCCCACTCGGTATCCATTGCAGCCTGGTCATCCTGGAAAGGACATTCTCCCATCTCCACTGCCTTCTCAATGTTGCTCACTTTTCGCCAGATGTTTTGTTGTTGTTGTTTTTCCTTGCCCTCCTGGGAGTTAAAATCAGGGGATGTTGTTTATATATGTCAAAGGTGAGCATGTGAAGAAGCCCTTTGAGACTTTTTGTGATCAAGGTATCTAAATAAATTTGTTTGTGTTGACTATTCTTTGCAACTTTTTTGTCTTGTGTACCCCTAAACCTTTTAGTCATATCATGACATCACGCACGTATTGAAAAATCTCCAAAAATAGAGAGGAACATAACTGACTGTTCTGATTTGTTTTTGGTTCATCACGAACAGATTCATGAAATAGTATAACAAAACTAGAATTTTCAAAATCGTTTTGCCATTGAGCAAAATAGTTGGCAATGTTGTCCATTCATTCATTAATGATTTGAACGCAAACTTCGTCCTCTTCTTTAACTTTGATTCTTTCCTCATTTGTTGAGTTGGTTTGGAGCAACGTCACTCGAGTGAAGCGCGCCTCGGCAGTCGATCGTCCGCCGCTCTCTGTTGCGAGCGCGTAGGCGCAAGCACGTACGCACACGCACGGTTTTTGTTTTCAACCAACGAGCGCCAATGCAACGGACGTCACGGATCGGGAAGCCAGAACGACGGACAACCCATTGGCCTAGCCAACGCGACGACGCACGAGGTTTTACGGATACGTAGTTCTGGTAATCTGTGTGCTTTCCTTTTTCTGCCCAAATATATATATATTTTTTTTTTTACGACAATAACTGTCTTGGACACTGCGTCTTTTCTCGTTCCACTGGAGTTTAGCAAGTTAGTTCAAAGAGAGGCATCTCTTTAGGTTATAGCTGAAATGGGTGAATATGTTGACAGTCAACATACGTCTGAAGAATGTTTGTATACTCTTATGTAATCCAGCAAAATTATGAAACCCCTGAACAGCAATAGGCAGTCGTTGTTTATTCATTTCCTTTGATATAGTTTGCATACAAACCCAAAGCATACATTGCTTTAAGCATCATAACCACAATCTCTTCCAATATGAAAGATAATGTGTGCTGAATGCACATCTTTTGGTTTAGAATCAAACACTGATCGTTGTGTGATAAATTACAGCTTGAATTTACACATCAAAGCAAATTAAACATTTCATGTAAAAAGGCAATAACATACCATACATGTGTAATGCGATCACAGTAAATCATATGACAGTGATGATTTTACTGTATTACAGCTTGACATATAAAAAAAAATCAAATAGTGTGCGAATACTATATTACTATCATACTTATTTTGGCTGATACAAAAAGCCAGTGTGACACTTGTAAAGTCGAAAAGGTCCCCATCCTGTTTAGGACATAAGAAGACACTGGAGAACTGACATTGTACAGTTAAAAAGCTCCCACTGCCAGCATTGAGATCATTACAAGACACCGAGATTTTTGTGAGGTTAGACAGTGTGCCGTGTTTTACCTTAAAAAATTGTTTTAAAAAAAAAAAACGAGAGGTGCATTTCACGTCACTACCCCACCTTCAGTAGGATTGCCATCAAACTAAGTGATTCATCTGCAGAGAATATGAGAAGTGAAACAAGGAAGAGGCTAAAGGAGACTTTTGATGCGTTGTTCTTCAGGAGGACCTCAATGGGGTAATGGTCGCTCACCTTGAGTGCCTGAGCAGAAAAGAAAAACATTTCAGAACTAGTACAGAGTGTTGTGTGAATGGTTGTCTGTTGATGTGTGCCCTGTGGTTGGCTGACAACAAGTCCAAAGTTAAAAATGGAATTTTAATTGGAGATTCATTGTCTAAATGTAGTTTTGCCCCTGATTTAAGATATTCAGATTTTATTTATTTTTTGATTTGGGATATTTAAAAATAAAAAAAAAGTTATATACTGTTGACCTATACAAGTTTGCACAAAACGGATATTACTATGCGACGCGTGGTCATTTATAGCTTTGACGTTTCAGAAAAAAATTCCACCTGTTTCCGAACCTAACCCTTCATTCATAAATATGGCAAAATATAATAGAATGTTAAATATCATATTGGTAATGTTATTATTTTCATTAATATCATATGTCCAAGAGAAAAAGAACGATGGCCGCTTCAGAATCAGAAATAATCGAAAAAGGTTACTTCCCTGTTGACCAATGTAATCTAGTTTGACTTACATTTGTATGATGTTTTATTTCAATGTAAGTCAAAAATTAACATTAAATGCAGTCAAAAAACATGCAGCCAGTTACCTCTTCCTCCGAGAGACGATATTCCATTTGAAAGTTGAATGGCTTGGCTGAAAAGGGTACAACTGCATTGGCAAGTGTGTCACCGTGCACGACAATCCTGATGAAGTGCAAAGCAAATACAAATGAACTCACACAATGACCATCACTGGATTTAAACATGCTAATAAATCTTACTTTCCCTAAAACAGATATGCTCCATAGTCCCCCCGATTCCCACCAGGCTACCCGATTAATTCTATTCAAATGAAACGATTGTTCGGTTTTAACTTTTCCATGCTGTCACTTGCTTGTGACTGATTTACCTGTCGTAGGCACAGGAGGTGGAGTCTCGGACGGTGGTGTCCGTCTTTTCTGGCATCAACCAGAACAGATTGTTGTCTCTAAACAAGCGCAATTTCCCGCGACTCCTCTTGGAAAGGTAGGCACAATCAGCATTGAAGTCCCCAAGAAGCATTATATTCTGTATAATGCACAAAATCATAACTGGAACATAGCATTCACAACTGGACGACAGTACTTCCGAAGTAATGAATGAGGTGCTTCTAACTGACATCCAGACAGGGGAACTCCGTTTGCCTGGGTGTCTTTTCATATTCACATGATATACTGAGATGATTTTGTGGGGCTAGGTTAGGTTTACATAAATATTTCAGTATGTTTGTGCTCCACATTTCCAGTATGAAGCGGTAATGCACCATTTGTCAACAACATTTGAAGATGACAAAAAAAAAAAAAGGAGGACTTTCCCAGCAAGTCGAGCTGCATTTGGAAACAGTTTTTGCCTTCTCACAACTGGTTGCTGCTTACGTGTTTTAGCATTAATGTTACTTATTGTTTGTGTTCTCCATCCATCCATCTATCCATCCATCCATCCATGCATGTTCTAATCCACTGATCTTGATTTGTTCTTTTAACTTCTATGACGCGTTAATTCATGTAATGTGACTATTAAGGAATGTGTAGTAAAACATGATGGCTGGATGGATAGATAGACAGCTTAAAATGACATTCATTTTACCTCAGTTTTCCACCTCCTCCTTACATGTTGCAAAACATCATAAAGTGCATCAAGCTCCTTTGAGACGTTAGCTGGACTGGTGTGTTGTGGGATAAGGACAAACTCCTTGATCGCTGAAGACACAAGTAGGGAGGTGTAAGAACATGGAAGCTCCTCTATGCCACATGGATACATTTTTAGGATGTTTTTTAGTGTCGGGAGACAGACCTGTCTTTGGAGCTTTGAAGCGGACAACAAACGGCTCTCTGGAGAAGGCATCCACATCTCCTGGCTTGTCGTCAGGGTACTGATACTGGCCCGTGACTGTCACTTTATTAGCCCTGCACACATCCCACTTCTGTGACATTTGGTATATTACACTGAGCTGCATAATTGATGTGCTACTTGTATGTGTTGATATGTCGTTTTGCTTACCTGTAGACAAACACATACTGCTCCTGGTATGTTTCAGACCTGCCCAATCTCTCACTCGCCACAGCTTTATATTCATGCTGAAGATCATACCTGAATATTAATATATTAACAAAAAGGACAGGGGGCAACATTTTGATTTAAACATCTGTATGTGTGTGTTTGTATGTGTGTGTACACATGTGTGTGTTTAATCATTTAATCACTTGTTAAGATGCTCAAGTAATTGGGGCAAAGCTTTTTGTCTGTTGTCTCTCACTTCCTGAAGTAGGCACACATCGCACCGGGTGATGATCTGCAAGAGGTCATGAAAGGGTTAGTTGCCTTGGAGTGACACACCGATCAGTATCACAGACATGGATAGCAAGCGCTTTATGTGGAGCATCATTTAAAGGGTCTAAGACTATTACAAAGGGCATATCAGGTGAATGTCAGTCTAAAAGATAGGAAGGCCCCAGACCGTTCAAGGCTTTAAAATCAAAAGCTTGATTTGGCTTTCACAAAGTCGCCTCGCTACGGATTTTTTATTTTTCAAACCTATCCTCTGTTAAAATGTCTATTCGTCATTCCTTTAATATACTGCTTGTGAGGGAGCAGTCAAAGTGAAAGTCAAAATGTGCTTTTCTCTCTAGATTCAGTTCTTCATAGCCCCTGTCGCCTACTTGGCTCTTACAATTCTGCCTGTATTCCTTAACATTTGTTTATGTGTGTCAATGCCAAAAGCGAAGTTATTTAACTTGTATGTATGAGAGTGCTAGTGGGCATCATTGTTTGCCCATGTGTAAGGTCAAGTGATTTGGTGCTAGAATGTTATTTAGGATAATCTGATTGATGAGCCTCATGGGAAGGTGGTTTGTGTGTGTTGAATCATTTAAGTAAAAGAGGCAGTCGTTTACGGAACATTTATTCATGGTTGTGGAAATTGATATTGTATACACACGTGCGGGATCCAGTGCACCTGCACTATTGGAGACATGAAAGACCAAACTTGTCAGTTCAGTGTTTGGTGCCTTGCTAAAGGGCACCTCACCTGTCCCATTATGCTTGGTCATTTTGGAAGTTCAAATCAACAGTCAGCCCCTTAACTAGTAAGTTCATCCACAATGCGCAGCAAATTAAAAAGACGGATTTCTTCAAGCCACGCATGCATTACCTTAGCATATGTCTGCATGACATCCTGCTTCTTGGCTTTGGATTCCCCAAAATGTTGAAGGTTGAAGGCACAGACTCGGAGATTTGCAGCTGCCTGGATGCCACAAACATCAAGGTAGGGAAGCAGGAGGAGGAAGATGTGCCTCATTGTCACAGCTGTAAGAATAACACACAAAGACGATTTTGTCTGATTAAACATTTTTTGGTTGTGGAGACGCAAATGACAAATACAATGCAGACTACGAGTAGAAGTGAAAGAATACAATACAATACAATACATGCTGATTTATATCACGCTTTCACAACGTAACAAGAATGCTGTGGACAGTCAAACAGTACCTGACCTGCTTTCTCAAGACGCACACCTTTTATGAAGACGTGTGCAGGCAACATAGGAAAAAAACGCTTCAACTTCTTGAAAATACTCTTAACAATAAGACATTCAGTCATAATTATAAGAATAAAGTCATGCTAGAAGATATTTCTAAGAGAATAAAGTTGCAATACTAAAATATATAAAACTGGGATTGCCCTTAGTGTTGCTGTGGTTTTAATTACCGGTAATTGTCTTTCTCCACACAGTGTGGAACATAAGTTTCCATACATGGCTATGAACATACCCTAAAAAAATTATTGGGAGATGAATTGATTTTATTTATAAGGACGATTTTTAAATCTATTTTTTTAGTGGCTTCCATAGTTGAAAGTGTATCCCCAATGATGTAAAGTGTGCATTGCTTACATTAACAACATAGTTGCATACTGAGAGAAGCTAATTTACAAAAGCAGACTCAGTGTTGCCAACTTAGCGATTGGGTTTCTATCTTCACCTCGTAACTTTCCCAACCTCTCTAGCAAGTTAAAAAAAAAAAAAAATTGAGCGAAAGAGCATGAGAGAGCTCGTGGAGTTTATATTTTACATATTGTTGAGTGTACATACCAGGCAGGTGACAATATGATGAGAGGAGCAATAGAATACCTTGGGTGTGTGCTCATTTGTGTGTTATTTGGCCTTGCGGTTCAGCTTCCAATGTAAAGCACAATACTATGTTGTATCGATGTTAAAATGACAAAAAGTACACAACGCCATACATGTCACGCAGTCACAGGGCTGGCTGGAATCTTCTTTGTCGTGCTTATCTTTGGGCGCAGCACTTGCGGATATGCAATTGTTAGTCGTCTTAGTCATGGGAAGACAGATATTAAATATGGTGGGGAAGCCACACAACAGTCACAACATTGGGTACCCTTGCATAAGTTAGGATTGCACGACTGTCCGTGTTTTATGTTATGTGTTGTTTATTATTTTACTTTATGTTAACTGTTTTGTTACAGCTGCATCTGTTGTGAAAGCGCTATATAAATCAGGATGTATTGTATTGTATTGTATAATCCAAAAAATCTGCCTCTACAAATATAATGCATAGTTTTAGGTCAAGGAAGTATTCATTTAACATTGCAGATGCAATACTGGAATGGACCATAGATGTCTGATATTTTCCTTCACTATGAAACTGAATTATGAGAATCAAGCGCCTCACAGGATGATATGATGCAGTACAAAGGGGTGGACAAAGGTTCTTCATTACGGCCCTGTAAAATGTGATGCATTAATATAGCATTTTATTGGATTGGATTGGATACAACTTTATTATTCACTAAGATTTGTGAATTAAAACGTATATATTTTTTTCATTTTTATTAATTTTATTTGTTATCTCATAAAATAAGGTTTTCATGGAAACAAAATATTAGAAGCATTTTTTATCAATAATAAAATAAACCATTGAATAAATTATACCTTATTCAGTTTTTTTTATGTAATAGTCAATTCATTATGATTTCTTTCAAAATCTATAATAAAATGTGATCATTTATCATTCATGAATTACATATTATTATGCACGTTTAAAAAACATCCATCTATGACCTAGTCCAATGGTGTTTATTTATAGTCCCAAAATAATAAATAAATCATAGAAATTTTAAGTACTGTATCATTTTCTCAACGTGTCAGTGAAGGTGGATCTCATTAGACTACAAAAGTGTCCCTCATGAAAAAGACAGTGAGTGTGGTTTTAATACAAATATTTGAAGGTCATCCAGGCGATGTACAGAAAATGAGGGTGAATTATTTCTGGTGTTTGCAGCTGTCCGGTGACACATTTTTTGAGCAAGTGTCATGTGTTTAAAAAAAAAAACATCACAGCTGTAGAACGGTCAACCAGCATCCTGCTCTTAAAGAGGATCAACAAAAATCTCGACACCAAATAGAAGATTTTTCAAGACACAAATTCATGCTTGAATTTAGCAGACCATGATTCTTTTGACTGTCTTTATTGCTCCCCTAATCTCCTTAAAACACACAGAATCCCAAATTACATATTTTCCTGACCCAGTGCGCGCGAGAATCTTGCTATGAGAATTTTAAAAACAGCAGCTTACCAGGCCCAGTGGTATTTTTCTGACTGCTTCCTTCTTTGTGAAACATGAAGCCTGCCCTGCTGACTAGTTCCTGTGGGTGGGACTTCCTGCTACTTGCTGGATCTACACATGCCAAATCTGTGCTGCCTGCTAGTTTCTATCTATAGAAGGTGGCTGTCAGTTTTCACTTCCCTTTTCCCTTTAATCAAATTCAGTGAGGCAATTCCTCACCAGGTGTTCATGGGGGGGAGCAGTCAAATGCATAAAATCCAATTCTAACATCTTTATTGTTTAAAACAGACATTCAAAAATAACGACTCGCTGACTTAATTTCCTCACAGATAGCTGTACGAAGCCAGGATATAAACTTGAGAGGTGCCGACACCCCAACCAGAATATTATACATGCAGCAGTTTTATAAGAATAAAACCGTAATGAATACCGGTTAAATAACATTTCATGCCACCAAGTAAGCTAATAAGTTATAGATTGTATTATTATACAGTAAACAAATATAAAGAATTGGCCTTTGGAGCCGGCGACAGCAACTAGTTGCAAGTCTGCTTCCTGGTAAGGCACCAAGCCAACACCCCAGCTAGCTCAAGCCGTGCAGCACGGTTTGCACATCCCTTTCACTCTGATATCTCTCTTTGCAGGCCTGCAAATGTGTGATATGGTTCACTGTTGGGTGTACCACAGAAAAATAGAGAGCAGAGTGTAAGTAGAATTTCATTTTGAGGTATTATAACTATACAATTAAAAAAAACGCTATTATACAGACCTATTTCCATATACAAATCCAGTACATCCACATACTGTATATACATATTCTTATCTACATATACGGTATATGTATATTCATACACATATATAGTACAGCACACATATACTGCATATACATTGCCCTCCAAAAGTATTGGAATGGCAAGGTACATTCCTGTTTTTGTTGAGTATTCAAAATACGAGGACGAAATTTCAGAATAGCATCTTTATTTCAGGGTATCTACATCTAGATGCATGTCATACATAAAGCATATTTGACAATAAAGATGACCTTGACCTTGACCTTGACCTAGATGTGTTACACAACTCAGGACAGTGCTTCCTTTGGTTTGAAGCCACCAACTTTTCAAGTGAGCAAAAGTACTTGAACGGACAATATTAATTTAACTTCAAGAGAATAACATGTAATATTTTGTGGCTTAAGCCTTACTGGCAACAACTCTCTCAAGCCCTGTGAGCCATTGACTTCACCGGATTGTTGCCTTCTTCATTTGAAATGCTTTTCCTGGCCTTCAGTGCAGGCTCTTTCTGTTCTTGTTTGTTTCTCGAGGGTTTTTCCTTCAGTCTCCTCTTTGAGGTGAAATGCATCCGCGATTGGGTTAAAGTCTGGCGATTGACTTGGCCACTCACATGTTCGAGTATTTTTGCTCACTTGAAAAGTGGGTGGCATCGAATAAAATGTGCTCCGTCCTGACTTGTTTAACACATCGATATGTAAATAGCATGAAATAAAAGGTGGAGCCTTTGGCTTGATATAGATCTGAAACCTGAATGTCTTCTGGATACTGTACAACAAAAACAAAGGAATTAATCTTGTCGTTCCAATGCTTTTGGAGGAACTGTATCTGTCAATAAACATTTATGAAAGTTCTTTTCAAATCAACCTACAGGTACCGGTAATTAGTTAGACTGGTCTACTGTAATGTCTAAAACACAGGTCACAAACATGCTATCAGAATGACAGTCTGACAGAGCTGCTTTTACAGTAAGGGTCTCAATTCTTGTCTGCACTAACTGGTCAAAAAGGGGTTTGAGACAGACTCTCCCATGTGTGAAACAAACATGCCAGAAAATAAAATGGAGAAACTCCAAAGCACCCTATAAAGTTATTTGTTGTCTGAAAGCGCTGTTTCCATTTTAATAACATTTAAAGCCAGAATACCGATTGCTTTCTCCTAGGGTAAATTCTTGTTCTTGTTCTGTTCCTTTTTTGAACACATGAAGGACTCTACTTGCAAATCGCTCTGTCATCACTGGGTTCTTCCATCTCAAGTAAAAGTTCATGTTCACTGGCCTCTTCATCTGCGATGACCAGGTAGATGCGCCCAACAGACAGTCTGCTGTCAAATATTCTGGAAGGAAAGACAGAAGAGAGTTATGAAGTACCCGGAGATATTATACCTTATGCAATTCCTTGTCTTGTCCATTATAATACTATTATCATACTATTTTTAAAAAAATGTCTAGCAACAAATCTAGTAACATTATGTTGTGTTATTGGAGACGTCTGGAGCATTTGAAACTCCCTCCAGAGCAGGCAATGTTCAACCCTCCATGTCCAGAGTGCAAATGAATGAATGGCAAATTTCCATGACATCACAAAGTTCAGAATGGCTCACTCACAGACACAATTTCCGATATAGGCAGGTTAAAGCAGATTGACTAGGTTGTTTAATTTCACACTTAATAGGTGGGAAGGTACTCCAGAGACTCAAGTATTTGTATACAAGCAATTAAAAAGTAAATTATTTAAGCCAAAGCTTGGCCCTATACAATTTTGCTCTCGAGGAGTTGGCTGACATGTCTGACCAGATTGTATTTTGCTGTAGAACACTCGGCCATGTCGAACATGATACTATACAAAACGTTTGGGTTTGACATCAAAAGATGAAATTACATTTTCAGGTCAGCAAAAGTATTAGAACAGGTGGATTTCAAGAAGACCAAGTACATTAGAGCAAGTGTGGCATGGTGTGTGGTCTAAATTTGCATAGGGGCAGGCCAGAGTCAATTTTGGTATTTTCGCAGAATCGTGCAAGTGGGTACAGCATGGTGCATTTTTCACAGCTGCAGGCGTGAACACAGCTGACTTGATTCTCCGCCAAGCGATGAAGGTGTGTAACTGCAACATGTTTCTCCAGACTTGAAAGACTGCAGTTCATTGTGCTGTTGCCTTTATATGTTACATGATCGATCTATGCAAGCCCAGCTCATGATACTAATGAGCTTATACCTTTGAGATCATGACCAAATGCTTTACTTCTCTAAACTTTAGCGTTTCCATTAGTTTGATAAAGGTTATTCTTTGTCTCTTCAATCCATAAAACATTATCCTAGAAAGACTGAGGCGTGTCTTGTGCAAACATTAGATTGTGATGCTGTCACTCGTGCTCTCTGCAGGTTGTTACTGATGTCACGAACAGTTGTTTTAGGGTACTGCATTTCTTTACAGCGTTGTGTCATCAACAGCTGCAGTTTTCCTTGATCTACCTGTCTAACGTCCGCTACCTGTGAATTCTTTCTTCTTCGGGACATTCCAAATAGTTGTACAGTACTGGGTATGGACAAAGGTTGTGCAATGGGTCTGATTGATCTTCTCACACCTTCACAATTGCTTGTATTTTCATCCATAGACAGCCCTCTGGTATTCATCTTGGTTACCCTTTGAAGTATTAGAAATATAGTTTTCACAGTTAAAAACCCAAATGTGAAACCCCCACCCTTGTGACCCTTCAGGACGGATGGATGGATGAACGTTAAATATCCTGTCCTTGTGGTGTATTCGATTGAACATGATTTATAAATTATTGTATTCTGTCTGTTCTATTTGTATGCTAGCACTCCATACAAAACTGTCATGGATTTGTAGTTGTGCAGTACTTGGTAACCACATGTAATATAATCCTGTATACAGTCTCCATATTGTACTATATCATACTGTACTGTACTTCATTATCAAAGAAAGCATACTATTTGATTTTTTTTGTTCGTATAAATGATGCACGCGGGCTACCTTATGGGTATGATGGCCACGATGGAGATCAAGCTGGTTAGTATCAGGACAAAGCCAGGAAACCAACTAAAAGTCAATTGGTAAATCTTGGCGTAGAGCAAGTTAGTTCCCGCGCTGGACAATTTCAAAGACAGCTGCAGTGAAATAAGCACTTTACCTGCGAATGAGAGGAATATCCTTGAAATGAAACGATTACAGTACCATTTATAAATCAACAATACATTCTCATTCAACACTTCGCATGCAAAATCAAATCACATTGGATAACTTGCAGATACGCAGCAGTAAACAAGCAGTCAGGGGAACCTTAATTCATTCCGTTTCATGGGTATGTGCTCTAGTTGAAAGAAATACTTTTAAGTTATGTTCTGAAAAATTATTCAAAATGAAATGACGGGGAGAACATGCAAACTCCAGGCAAAAAATAATAAATAACTCACTGTATGAAGAACCATGCACTTGCTGGGACAGTAGAGAACATATCAATGGAACAGGCATCAGGGAGAAGAGTGCCAGAACACGGGCTAGAGAGAAAATCCCGGTGTTTATATTGGTGGACAAATCATGGTGAAATATTTTTTTAAACGTGATCCCAGAATAATTTACCAATGAAGAACATGTATGTAGTTGTGGCAAAAGCCATTGGAAGCATCCCAGCGGCATTGGAGAGCAGGCCAATAGTGATCAGAGAGCTATCACTGAGCCACCTTGATAAAATGACGGAACTCAGGAAACTTGAGATTGTAATCAGGAAGCCAGACGCATTCCCGTAGCTAACCTGCAGGAGCCACACGTGTCATAGTTAGAACAAGCACAAATAATTGTGTTGAATCTGACCATTCCCATCAAAATCAGCCGATGCCCGATTTTCAAGTGTCTCTGAAAGATCATCCTCACCTCATAGGCTGTGCGGGGGGTCTGGGAGAAACTACTCAGAGAAAACTAATTTTCATTTCGGATGTAACGTGAATTTAATGTCATACAATGTGCTTCCTATTAGCATTGACTAATGAGATGAGATGATTTATTTTTGAGCACAAACATTAACACTGCAAAAGCCAGCGGGAAGGAAGTTCCAAATCGACTCACCTGTGTCACATTCCAGTGAAGAGGCTCCATTAACTGAAATAAGACCAGAATGTTTCTCGTTGAAGAATCTACAGCATTGTAGAGTAGTCCTGACATCCACAGCAGTATTATGTTGACGACTTTGTGTGGATGGTCACATGTGGTGTCGTCGTTGGCTTTCATCAATGTCTTGTTATCACACAATGCTCCCGCCTGCATGGAATTTGTTTTTATTTCATTGTCAATTATGCGAAGATTTGAATGGCGTAGAAAACGGAATGCAATGTGACTGGTAGAAAACACACTTGTAAAACAGGAGATTCATTTTCATAGCTCTATTTTTTTAAAATGCACAGTAATACCTCTTGTGGGGGTGACTCCTGGCACTTGTGTGGCTTTTTTTTTTTTTAATGGGTTGTTACAATCATCATTCAAACTAATTTGCCAAACACAAATTGTTGCCATTAACTGAAACTAAAAGGCACAGTATTTGTCAAGCTGTACAAAATCAACAGGTGACATTGCCGTCTGATGTCTTTGTGATAGTAAAAGTCAGCATTTTGGGCAACTTATTTTTGAGGCCAGTGAATGAGCAACAAAACACTCGCCTGTAGGAAGAAGATCACGTAGATCATGCAGGACCCATGAAACAGAACACATATCAGCAAGGTGACAACACCCGGTCTCAGGTTTGTACTGGAGACATTGTACAAGTGTCCTGCCGTCATACAGCCCACAACACCAGATAGTCCACTGATAAGCTCTGCTCTCATCAATACTTTGGATCTATCCTGACTTGTAGAGCCAAGAGACAGCAGTGTCATGATGCCACTCCAGAACACAGTGGAGCCCCCACACAACGCAGTGATGATCACCTCCACCCACAAGATTTTGACAGGCCAGTCCAGTATCAGCATGAATAGCACCACAAGCCGGGACAGCATGAGGCCCAGCAGTGGGAGCATAATCAGGCTTTTCCTCCAGCCCATGTCCCCGAGCCATGCCACAAAAAAGCCAGGAAGGATGGGAACCAGTTGACTCAGGACTCTGTAAGTCATGAAGAAGCTGGACACAGAGACCTGCCAGCTGTCCTCCAAACGGGATAGGTTGGTATCCGATTGGCTTGTAGCATTAACATATCGTTCCTTCATCACCATAGGAAGAACGGTCAAGAAGAACGCATTCCCCAACTGAACACCCGCTGCCACGAGCTGGATGCTCCATAGCAAGTGGTCTCTGTGCATATCTGTAAGTGAATGAGACAAATGTTGTGTGAACTGCACCTTTGTCAACGCCTGCGTAAAGATCCACCTGTCATGTTCCAACACTGGCTCCGAGACTGGTGGCGTAGCATATCATGTACCTTTTGTCTACTTAAACACACATTCACATGCCATGAGTAAGCATATAGGATAAACACAAATATTTAATTACATTATACAGTATTTGATTTTTTTTAGGTATCTGTACTTTTTACTGTACTATTTATTTTTCTGATGGTTTTTTACTGTACTCGCTACATTTGAAAATGGGTATTTGTACTCCTTTCATTAGGTTTGTTAGTCTTTTCAACATGATGACGACGTAAAAAAGACAACATTTAAAAAAAAACAAGCACTGCAACATGGAGGACCGTGATAGAAGAGGCATTAAGTAGGACGGTCACACATTCAGAGAAGCAAGATATTCCTCATTCATGCCCTGATTTAAGATATTTGATGTTTAACACACGCTCTAACAGCCATTTAAAACAATTAAATTCTTTTTGAACATGTTGGAATGTGTTATTCCAAGCTGCCATTGACTGCATATACAGTCACTGCAAAGATGATCAATCATACACATAGCAGATAAGGCAGACAGGCAGGTATGCCGACAAAACATTGAGCAAAACATTTTCATTGAGAGATGACACTACTTCAGGGAAAGAGAGAATCATGGAGGACTTGGAAACCGTATTTGAGCTCAAGAACGGGTTAGTTGTATTTGTATCTCAAGTCAATTTCAAAGTAAAATTCCATTAAACTCGCCAACAAGTGCAAACGCTCCATGTTTATTGTTTTCAGTTACCCGGAAGATGACCCGAAAGTACATGAAGCGCATTTAAATAAAAAAAAATAAAAAAAAGACCCCTTGCAAAAAAGTGCGTTATCTCACAATCTTTGCGAGTGAATGCAAAACTTTTCGAGGGAACGCATTTTTTTCCTTCTCTGTCACCTTAGTGGCTCCGTAGAAAATCATTAAAAAGGAAACAAAGATTAACTCTGTTCAGTCATTACAAAAAAAAAATCTGCTAGAGTATGTAAATGTATTTGCACGACTGTACATTATCTGCAGTTTTAGTTCTGCATAAGTCTCTTGGAGTGGAGAACTTTTCGAGTTGGTATTCACCACCCTACACACAGATGCCACCTTTACAATAAATGTCAAAACATTCTTGAATTTTATTGATGCAACAGATGTAGATACAACGAGGCTATTTAATAAAAATCAAAGTGGTCTGCGGCCCCCATTCCCCAGCCACTGCCGGTCCCAAACCATATAAAAATTTTAAAAAAAAGCACGTAATGGCTGTTCAGCAGTCTTTAATTTTGAGATGGGTTAGTGTTGGATTCAAAAACTGTCAGAAAAAAAAAGCTAAAATTATTTTTGTGTTAAGTCCAAGCTGATATTCAGGAATGTCATTTTGCTTAAAACTCAAAAGAATTTGTCTGCTTTCATGGAAGATGAAGGAAATTGTCAAGTATAAACGAATAAGAGCCTGAAATTAGTGTATTTTTTTTTCGACAATTCAAAACATGTCCATCCTTATCCTTTTCCATGAGTGCAAGAAATCAACACACTTATTCCTGAATAATTCTCTTAATTTGACACATTTGTTCATCTGCACAACAATAAAATCCGCATTTGTGACCTGATAAGTGAATAAACCCAGACATTTTTCTAATGAAAGCCATTTTTATTGGTTGTAGTCAAACAGCTACAGATGCTCTAAACGGCATGGAGGGCCTTCCAGCGGGACAGAGGACCTTTACTGGGGATGTATTTCACCCCACAGCCATCAGGAATGACACGCTTTTCAGCCATCATCTCATCGAAGTCGCAGGCATTGAACTTGGTGAAGCCATATTTCTTGGAGATATGGATCTGAAGAGAGAAGAAAAAGACAGCAATGACCTCAAAATCCTGAAGAATAGCATCTAAAAATTGCTTTGTCTCAGTGGTCCCTTTAAAGAATTCAGCACCTCATAGCTGAGGACATACACAAACCAACGAGTTGCTCTTTGCAGCCTTTGTACACCAGATATGCACTGCAGCAAGACCAGTCTTAATAAGCTGCATTATTCTATGATAAATGTATAGTACAAGAGATGAGTGCGCTCACGCAACAACTGACTTGAATACAGTGACATATGTATACCTTCTGGCGGCCGGGGAACTTGAACTTGGCTCTACGCAAGGCTTCGACCACATGCTCCTTGTTCTGGGCCTTGGTACGCACAGACATGATCACCTGCCCAATGTGCACTCGGGCCACAGTGCCCTGTGGCTTCCCAAAAGCACCACGCATTCCTGTCTGGAGCCTAAAAGCAGAAAGGGGCCAATTCAGCTTTGGGGTTATTTGAGATCAACAATACATCGGAATATCACTCACCTGTCAGCTCCAGCGCAGGATAACATTTTGTTGATGCGGATGACGTGGAAAGGATGCAGACGCATGCGGATGTGGAAACCATCCTTACCGCAGGTCTTCACCATGTACTTGTTAGCACAGATACGGGCCGCCTCCAGAGCTGCAAGAACACAGCCCACCCAAGTGGCAGGAAAGATATTGCCTCAACTTAAGGCACAAGCACTGACTGAGGAAAACTGGAAATCCCCAAAAGCCACAAATCACTCATTAATGATAGTGACACTGACTGTTTTGGGAAGAGGAGGACATTCATTGAGGCAATGCTCACTTTTGAGCAAGCTGTCGCTTAAGGGAGTTGATGCAAGCAAACCAGGGCAGTCTCTCCATTTGCAGGTGAGTGGTTTCACATTTTTGGCCAATCAACTCATGCTAAACTTTGATGTTCGCGTTAGCGACTCAATATATTCCGTATCCAGGTGAGGGAAGGAAGCAAAAAGGCCTGACCGTTTCTCACCTTCCGAAGAGAGCTGCTCGTATTCATCGGAGACCATGTGGCCGCACAGGGGAAACTCATCCACCTTGGCCTTCTTCCTGCCCAAGTCAAAGATCCCGATTTTGGGATCTTAAAGAAAAAAAAAAAAAAAAGATTAATAATGTGTAGCATTTTGTATGACAAGATTATCATTAGCTGCGGAAATGTTAATTTTTCTACAATATATTTTCTCTGAACATGTCTCAATGATCCCTTAGAGAACTCAGCACCTCACAGCTGAGAACATACACTCACCAAAGATTTTATGTCCGCAGCCTTTGCACACCAGAAATGCACCACAGCAAGTCTAGTCGGCTTAATAAACTGCAGAGTGGGCTGTCAGCCCACTGTATTCAAGAGCAACCCTGACAATCAGTTAAGCCTAAAAAATCTTGAAAAATAATCCAATTGTTAATTTTATTTTTTGACATTCAGATTGCAGTTTGATAAGCAATTATTTTATCATGGTCCTCTTCCATGAAAGGCAGTTAATTTAACTAATGGCACTTCAGATGTTAGCATACATACTACTTTATATAGTCTTTCATGCACTCACTGACAACTTTAAAATATTCTACAAATCAAATATGAAAAAAATCTTTAAGTCATACAACAGATAACCACAAATGAAAACAAATCTGTGGCTTTATCACTACATAACATTTCATGTCACTTGACACAATGACATGCAAACGTGGCCTGTAGTTATACAGAGACTATATATAACAAATAAATATGCATTGAGATACAGTACATATTTTTTTAAAAAGCATACTGCGGAAACAAAGTAAAACAGAGCTTTTGGGTTTCACGGTTTCCAAAATTGCAGCCTTTGCGATTTGAAAATTGCATTTTACTTCAGTGCGATGTCTACTTGATGTGGATGAATTATTCAGCCCTTCAATCAACAATATTCACTTTTAAAGGAGGAGAAAGTGTACCACTCACCAGGCACACCCCGACAGAAGCGGGACTTTGGGTAAGGCTTGTTCTTGCAGTACCTGTAGCTGTGGAGAAGGCATTGGACAAATGGATCGTCATGGATCGACATTTAAAAGACAGATTCAACAGGCAAATGCGGGCAAAATAATTATTTAATAAGAAATTAATCTGAACAATTTACAGGATTTCCAAAAACCCTTGTACATCGTCATTTGTCTATTTCAGACCAAATCTAGTCTCCGCATACATAAGTACCACAAGGAGAGCGAAGCTTTTATTTTTTTCTTAAATACTTTTTCTTGTTGAGAAACAAAAGTTAGACGCTGTTCTAAATTCAGGGCTATCCGTTCATTTTACGTTAGATCTTTTACTCAATAAGACATAAAATGTCAACAAAAGTACCACAGTGATATAAAATAACGCTGATGCATATTCGTACATTCAAGTAAGCATGGCAGTGCACGCTTCAAACTCCAATAAGCGCCGTACAGTCTCAC